TCTTGCTACCTTGCCGAATTCGTTTATCTGTTCTAGTAGTTTATGTGTGGACTGTTTAGGGTTTTCTATATGTAGTGTCATATCATCTGCATATAATGACAATTTTACCTCTTCCCTACCAATCTGGATTTTTTTTTTTTTTTTTTTTTTTTTTAGTTTTGGCTGCACTGCGTCTTTGTTGCTGTGTGCTGGCTTTCTCTAGTTGCGGCGAGCAGGGGCTTTGTTGTCATGCGCGGGCTTCTCATTGTGGGGGCTTCTCTTGTGGAGCACAGGCTCTAGGTGCGCAGGCTTCAGTGTTTGTAGCACACAGGCTCAGTAGTCGTGGCTGGCGGGCTCTAGAGTGCAGGCTCAGTAGTTGTGGCACACAAGCTTAGCTGCTTTGCAGCATGTGGGATCTTCCCGGACCAGGGCTCGAACCCATGTCCCCTGCATTGGCAGGCGGATTCTTAACCACTGTGCCACCAGGGAAGCCCTAATCTGGGTATCTTTTATCTCTTTTTCTTATCTGATTGCTGCAGCTAGGACTTCCAATAGTGTTGAATAGAAGAGGTGAGAGTGGGCATCCTTGTCTTGTTCCAGATTTTAGCAGGAATGCTTTCAGCTTTTCACTGTTGAGTATTATATTGGCTGTGGATTTGTCATAAAGAGCTTTTATTATCTTGAGGTATTTTCCCTCTATACCCGTTTTGGTAAGAGTTTTTATCATGAATGGATGTTGAATTTGTCAAATGCCTTTTCTACATCTATTCAGAAGACCATGTGGGTTTTGGCTTTTCTTTTATAATTGTTCGTAGTATATTCCCTTACGGTTTTTTGTATTTCTGTGGTGTCAGTTGTTATGTTTCCTTTTTCATTTCTTATTTTGTTTAATGAAATAAGTTCTCTCTTCCTCCTTGAAGAGCTTGGTGAGAGGTTTGTCAATGTTGTTTATCCTTTCAGAGAACCAGCTCTTAGTTTTATTGATTTTTTCTATTTTTTAAATATCTCTTATTTATTTCCTCTCTGATCTTTATTGTTTCACTCTTTCTGCTGACTTTAGGTTTTGTTTGTTCTTCTTTTTCTAGTTCTTTGTGGTAGGTTAGGTTGTTTGAGATTTTTCTTGTTTTTTGAGGAAAGCCTGTATTGCTATGAACTTCTAAGAACTGCTTTTGTTGCATTCCATAGATTTTGTATGGTTGTGTTTTCATTGTCATTTGTCTCAAGGTATTTTTAAATCTCCTCTTTGATTTCCTCATTGACCCATTGGATTTGTAGTACCATGTTGTTTAGTCTCCATGTAATCATTTTTTTCTCATTTATTTTTCTGTGGTTAATTTCTAGTTCCATGCCGTTGTGGTCAGAAAAGATGCTTGAGATAATTTCTATACTCTTAAATTTGTTGAGGCTTGTTTTATGCCCTAGTATGTGGTCAGTTCTAGAGAATGTTCCATGTGCACTTGAAAAGAATGTGTATTCTGGTTTTTTTGGATGTAATGTACTGAAAATATCAATTAAGTCTAACTGTTCTGTTGTATCATTTAGTATCTCTTGTCTTATTGATTCTCTATCTGGAAGATCTGTCCATTGATGTGAACGGGGTGTTAAAATATCCTATTATTATTGTAGTCTTCTCAATTTCTGCCTTTCTTTTTCTTTTTTATAAATTTATTATTTATTAGCTGCTTTGTGTCTTCGTTGCTGCACACGGGCTTTCTCTAGTTGCAGCGAGTAGGAACAGGGGCTACTCTTTGTTGCGGAGCATGGGCTCTAGGCACACAGGCTTCCGTAGTTGTGGTGCATGGGCTCAGTAGTAATGGCTCTCAGGTTCTAGAGTGCAGGCTCAGTAGTTGTGGTGCATGGGCTTAGTTGCTCCACGGCATGTGGGATCTTCCTGGAACAGGGCTCAAACCCATGTCCCCTGCATTGGCAGGTGGATTCTTAACCACTGCACCATCAGGGAAGTCCCTCTCCCTATATTTCTGTTAGTATTTGTTTTACGTACATGGGTGTTCCTATATTAGGTGCATATATGTTGATGTAAAATCCTCTTGTATTGATCCTTTTTTCATTATATAGTATCCTTCTTTATCTTTATGGCTTTTGTCTTAAAGTCTATTTTATCTGATATGAGTATTGCAACCCCACTTTCTTGTCATTTCCTTTTGCATGAAATATCTTTTTCCATCCCCTCACTTTCAATTTCTATGTGTCCTTTGCCCTAAAGTGGGTCTCTTGTAGGCAGCATATTGTAGGCTCTTTTTTTTTTTTTTTTCCCAGTCTGCCACTCTGTGTCTTTTGATTGGAGGATTTAGTCCATTGACAGTTATGGTAATTACTGATAGATATGTATTTATTGCTATTTTAAACCTTGTTTTCCTGTTGATTTTATATTTCTTCTTTGTCCCTTATTTTTCCTTTTGTGGTTTCATGGTTTTCTTTGGTATTATACTTATGTTCTCTTCTTTTTGGTTTTTGTGAATCTACTGTATGTTTTTGATTTGTGGGTCCCCTATTTTTCAAGAATGTTAACCCCTTCCTATATCTACTTGCCTTAGACTGGTAGTTATATAGGCTGAAACACATTCATTCTAGGAAAGAAAAAGAATCTACACTTTTTTACTCTCCTCCCCCACATTTTATGATTTTGATGTCCTGTTTTACATCTTGTTCATCCTTCTGCTGTTCATTGTGGTTACCATCATTTTCACACAAATTTTTGGATTTTTTTCTTTAGTCTGTGTCCTGGCTTTAAATTTAAAGTAAATTTAAGTAATTTACTTTCCAATTGTGATGTTTTTTTCTTTCCTATAGATTCTTCTTTTCTATTTAGAGAAGACCTTTCAATGTTTCCTTTAGGATAGATTTAGTATTTTAGTTTTTGTGAGTCTGAGAAATTCTTTATCTCTCTTTCTATTCTAAATGATAATCTTGCTAGGTAGAGTATCCTAGGTTGTATACTTTTCCCTTTCAGGACTTTGAATGTATCTTGCCACTCCCTTCTGGCCTGCAGCATTTCTGTAGAGAAATCACCTGGTAGCCTTATGGGGGTTTCCTTGTAATGAACTCTTTGTTTTCCTCTTGCTGCCTTTAGAATTCTCTCTTTAACTTTTGCTGTTTTTATTGTAATATGTCTTGGTGTAGGTCTGTTTTGGTTTATCTTACTTGGGACCGTCTGTGCTTCCTGTACCTGGATATGTGTTTCCTTCTTTAGGTTTGGGAATTTTTTTGTGTGTGTGTGGTACTCGGGCCTCTCACTATTGTGGCCTCTCCCACTGCGGAGCACAGGTTCTGGAAGCGCAGGCTCAGCGGCCATGGCTCACAGGCCTAGCCACTCCACAGCATGTGGGATATTCCCGGACCAGGGCATGAAGCCGTGTCCCCTGCATCGGCAGGCGGACTCTCAACCACTGCGCCACCAGGGAAGCCCCACTGGGAATTTTTCAGACATAATTTTTTCAAATACATTTTTGATCCCCTTTTTCTTCTCCTTCTGGAATCCCCATTATGTGTAGATTGGCATGGTTTATATTATCCCATAGGTCTCTTATATTGCTTTCATTTTTTTTCATTTGGCTTTCTGTCTGCTGTCCTTGTTGGGTGATTTCCATTATTCTATGTTCCAGGTCACTTATTCATTCTTCTGCATCATTCATTCTGCTATTCATTGCCCTTAGCTTTCATCTCTGCGGATGAGTTTTCTAATTTTTTGTGGTTCCTCTGTATAGTTTCTAGTTCCCTTTTATAGTACTCTGCATTTCTGTCGATAGCTTTTCTTACTCCTCCAGTATTTTCATTATCTCCTTTTTGAAATCAGTGTCTATTAGAATGAAGAGGTCTGTTTCACTGTTCTTTCAGGGGAATGCTCTTGGTCTTTTAACTGGGAGTGGTTCCTCTGCTGTTTACCAACCAGTGTGGAAGGATTTCAATATTTGACAAGTCAGTTCAGCTGTTTAGGTCATCTACATACCAGCTCAGCTTAAGAGTAGGTTTTGCTCCATGACATGCCAGACCTGTGAAGCATATACCAAATCAGACAGCAAGCCTTGATAAGTCTGAAGCAGATTTACCACATTAGGAAGAATGCCCATTTTCAATTTCTAGGGAGCAGACTAGGTCATCTTACGTGCTATCAAGATCCTTAATGTAACATACAGTGGTATTTAAAGAGCTATGTTTTAACATTTAAAAAACTCCTGCTCATTAGATGTGCACAATTGGGTATGTTCCTCTAGTGAGAGTTGTAGGTGTTTTTTGATGGCACTTCATTAATCACATTTGAAATGTTCACTCTTTAACTTAATTAGTAGTGCTTAAAATTACTATTATTTTGTCTTTTAGGTAGCATGATAAGTTACCAGCTGTCTTTGAAACTTAGTGATGTTGTCAGAGCTGTTATGTAATCTTTTCTTGTCCCTGATTGTTCTCCATAATGGCATATACTTTGTTATATTTTTGCAAAATCACCATAAAACTTTACTGTTTTTATTATATTTGTATTTAATTTTAGAAAACCAGTTATAAGCATCAAATATATTTTAATATATGCCTTATTGATATAGCTGGAACATTGACCATTCCATTGTAGAATTTGGGAAAATGCTGGTTTAGACCATGTACATCCTGTAAGGCATAACTCATGTTTCTGCCTCCTCTTTGAAGCCTTTTTCACTGCCCCAGTCTATCCTTATTTTCCATATTGAGAAATGCTCTAGCATTTAGTATGAATAACATTTTACACTTGATTGTTTAGTGTTCTGTTATTGCCAATTTCTGTGTGTATCTTTTCTCCATCAGTAGAGACTCTGAAATTGTATACTTTCCATGACAGAATATCAACACTAAGCACAGAGAAGTTGTCTAGCAATTACTTGACATGTGTTGCTCAGAACTCAAGATACTGACAGAAAATTTCACTACCTGTAGTATTTCTCTCCAGAAGTATAGACAATTTAATTTTTTAAACTATGCTCATGCGAGGGTAAGAACACTAGTTGAGCAAGAATATGTTTATGTCATTTCAGGATTTGGTGACATTTGGGGATGTGGCTGTAGATTTCTCTCAAGAGGAGTGGGAATGGCTGAACCCTGCTCAGAGGAATTTGTACAGGAAAGTGATGTTGCAGAACTATAGGAGCCTGGTATCACTGGGTAAGGAGGTCTCCCTGTAATTCAGAATCTGCACATAGGGCTGCTTTCCAATGTAATGTTTGGGAAACCTCTGATATAGTTCGCTAAGTTTCTGATTTTTGTGCTCCCCCAGATAAATATAGTTTTGTAGAATTGGCAGCTTCATTAGACTGTCCATGCAACTTCATCTTCCCCATTCTTCAGAATACTTCATCTCTTCCTCAGCTCCCTTCTATAATGGCCTCACCTTCCTGATGACCAAGCAGCTTGATCTGATTTATGGGCCTGGCTAATTCCCCTTTTATTTCTTGTAAGCAGGAGTTTCAGTTTCTAAGCCAGATGTGATCTCATTATTGGAGCAAGGAAAAGAGCCCTGGATGGTGAAGAAGGAGGGGACAAGAGGAGCATGCCCTGGTGAGTGAGAGAGAACTAGGCAGGCAGAGGCCATTGCAAGGAAAAGCCCAGCTATTCTGTAAAGTTCCAGCTCATAATTGATGTTTCCTGGGTAGCCTGAAAAGGCTCAAGGCCTGGGAAGAAACACTGTGGTGTGTCTGGCGTGAGTTCCCCAACCTAACTCTCCTCACACATTATGTGTGTATATTTTCTCTCACACATAACTGTCTTCTCTGATAATATTTTCTTATTCTCTGGATGCAGATGTCACAGTTATCTCCTTGTCCTTGCTTTTTAGTTTTACACACATTGCTCCATACTATGTTTAAAAATCCAGACACAGCAATGCATATTTTTTCCTTTTTAGTCACTCATTCCTTTCAGATTGAAGGATTGATTCATTTACTTATTCACGTGATTCACTGAATTTCTACTTTCATAAAATCATTCTGCTCAATTTTTAGGATTATTCAGAGGTTTATAAACCATCAAAGAAAAAGCATTTCCAGTTGTATTTTCAAGTCTGGGTAACTGGAAAGTGATAGCATTTAATAGAAACAAGTCAGAAGAAAGAACAGGTTGGTAGAGGAAAAGATGAATTTGGCTTGGGACAATAAGAGACTTATTTTTAAGAGATGGGGAGATTGCCAAGGGAAGATATGCAATGTATGATTGGAGGGAGATGGAGGCTAAGAAGAAAAAGTCTGATTTAGAGATGTTAGTGTGAAGGAATGAGGTCATAGTCTTCAAGTTTGAGAGAAAAGTCCTGGTACTTGGGCCTTTGTGGGGAAGTGGACCTTTGACAACTTTCTCAATGTCCTCTCTGCTAATTAACCTCCCTATAGTTTCTTCCTTGGGTTAAATTATATAAATTTAAATTTTTCTAGTTAGTTACCCTTTTCATTTAGGTTACAGATTTATTTCTATGAACCTGAGCATAATAATCGCTTATAATTGTTTTTCTTTTATATCTGGTAATTTCCAATTTTAATTTATTTTACATAGCTGTTATTTTTTTAAAAAATTGTTTGCTGCTCAGTCAATTTTGTTAATTTTTATTTTTAAAATCCAGCTTTTGGATGTATCTGTTAAATATATAGTGTCATCATTCTTCTCTTTTCTAATTCTCTATTTTCTGCTTTTCTCTTTACTAATTCTTTCCATCTAATTTCCTTAGGTTTATTTTGTTTTCCATTTTGCTGAAAAAAACTTAAAGTATTAATTTCATTTTCTCATTCACTAATGACATTATTAGGAGTTTTAATTTTCCTCTGAATATAGCTTTAGGTGACTTCCATAGATTCTGATATGTAGTTGTTTTTCTTATTTCCATTTCCTAGACAACCTATTTTTTTTTAAATTCCTTTTTACACAAGAGTTGTTTAAAAGAAAGTTTTCTTGTTTTATTTTATCTTGATCAAATTGTTTTATCATATTTGATCAGGATAGTAATTAGTACTAATTCTACTAACGATTTGAGGATTTTATATGTCCTAATATAGCATTAGTTTTCTTTAACGGTTCCATATGTTCCAAGGTATAGTCTCTATTTTCAGTGTAAAGAGCTTATTACATGAGTTTCTTTTTTTATTATGTTACTGAAGTCTCTCTTTACTTAATCTTTCTTGATTCCATCTATAATTTGTTCTTTCTTATTTTTGGCTGCATTGGGTCTTAATTGTGGCACGTGGGATCTTTCATTATTGCGCACAGGCTCTTCATTGTGGTGCTTGGGTTTCTCTCTAGTTGTGGCATGCAGGCTCCAGAGCACATAGGCTCTCTAGTTGTGGCACGTGGGCTCAGTAGTTGTGGCATGCAGGCTCCAGAGTGCATGGGCTCTGTAGTTGTGGCACACAGGCTCTCTAGTTGTGGCATGCAGGCTCAGTAGCCACGCGGCATGTGGGATCTTAGTTCCCCAACCAGGAACTAAGAAGGCAGATTCTTTACCACTGGACCACCAGGGAAGTCCCTATAATACTTTTCTTAATAACTAATTATTTACATACAGTAAATTGCATTCATATAAATTACACAATGTGATGAGTTCTGCCAGTTGTATACGTCCATGAAACCATCACCACAATCAAGACATAAAACGTTTCCATCACCCCAAAAGATAGCTTGTACCTCTATGCAGTTCATTCTTCTTCACTCCTGGCTCCAAACATTAATCTGATATTTGTCATTTTAGATTATTTTGCATTTAAACTAAATGGAATCATACTGTTATGTGTGGCTTATTTTGTCATCAAAATTATTTTGAAAATCATATTGTTTCATATATAAATAATTTACTCCTTTTGTTTCTGAGTAGCAGTCTATTGTATAGATGTTCCACACTTTTTCCATTCACCTGTTGATGCACTTTTGGGTTGTTTGCAGTTTGGGGCTATATAAAGTGGTCACATACAGGACTTTGTGTGGACGTACGTTTTCATTTCTCTTAGGTAAATATCTGAAAGTGGAAAAACTGAGTCATATGACAGGAATATGTTTAAATTTTTAAGAAACTGCCAAATAGTTTTCCAAAGAGATTGTATCATTTTCATTCCCACCAGCACTGTAGAAGAGTTCCAGTTGCTCTACATCCTCACCATATCTTGGTGAGGTTTTTTTCTTTTTTAAAATAATTTTATTGAAGTATAGTTGATTTACAATGTTGTTAATTTTTGCTGTGCAGCAAAGTGATTCAGTTACATACATATATTCTTTTCCATTATGGTTTATCACAGGATACTGAATATAGTTTCCTGTGCTACACAATAGGACCTTGTTATTTATCCATCCTATATATTAATACTTTGCATCTGCTAATCCCAAAATCCCAATCCTTCTCTCCCCCACCCCTCCTCCCCCTCGGCAAACACAAGTCTGTTCTCTAGATGAGTCTGTTTCTGTTTTGCAAATATATTCATTTGTACTGTATTTTAGATTCCACATATAAGTGATACCATATGGTATGTCTTTCTCTTTCTGACTTACTTGGCTTAGTATGATGATCTCTAGGTCCATCCATGTGCTGCAGATGGCATTATTTCATTCTTTTTTATAGCTGAGTAATATTCCAGTGTGTGTATGTATGTATATATGTGTGTGTGTGTGTATGTATACACACACATATGTACCATATCTCCTTTATCCATTCACCTGTTGATGGACATTTAGGTTGTTTCTATGTCTTGGCTATTGTACATAGTGCTGCTATGAACATAGTGGTGCATGTATCTTTTTGAATTATAGTTATGTCTGGATATATGCCCAGGAGTGGGATTTCTGGATCATATGGCAAGTCTAGTGTTTTGAGGAACCTCCATACTGTTTTCCATAGAGGCTGCATCAATTTACATTCCCATCAACAATGTAGGAGGGTTCCCTTTTTGGTGAGCTATTTTTAGTTTTATCCATTCTAATGATTGTGTTATGGTATCTCGTAGTTTTAGTATGTATTTATCTGATGACTAATGATGTTGAGGATCTTTTCATGTGCTATTGGCCATTCATATATCTATTGTGAAGTATTTGTTCAAATCTTTTGCCCATGTTTTATTAGGTTGTTTTATTATTATTGTAAAAGTTCTTAATACTGGTATACTTCATTTTATTGTGCTTCACTTTATTGTACTTCGCAGATATTGCACTTTTTACAAATTGAAGGTTTGTGGTGACCCTGCGTTGTCAGATGATGGTTAGTACTTTTTAGCAATAAAGTGCTTTTTAATTAAGGTATGTAAACTGATTTTTTTTAGACTTAATGCTATTGCACACTTAATAGACTACAGTATAGTGTAAACATAACTCTTACATGCACTGGGAAACCAAAAAATTCGTGTGACTCGCTTAATTGCAACATTCATTTTATTGGGGTGGCCTCGAACTGAACCCATGATACCTCTGAGGTATGCCTGTATAGTCCTGATACAAATTCTTTGTCATTTATGTGTATTGAGATATACATACCAATTGTGACTTGTATTTTTATTTTCCTACTACTGTCTTTTGAACATCCGAAGTTTTCAGTATTTGTTAAGTCCAAATTATTGCCTTGGTTTGTCCCTTTTGTGTCATATCTAAGAAAGTCTTGCTACCCGCAGGTCACAAACATTTTCTTCTGTGTTTTCACCTGGGGATTTTATCATTTTGGCTTTATATTTTGGTATATGTTCCATTGAGCCAATTTTTGTGTCTTGTGTGAGGTAAAGGTTGAAGTTCTTTTTTTTTTTTCCCAATTTGTATATATAGTTTCTCCAGTACCTTTCTTTTAAAGACTTTCCCTTCCCCATTATATTGTCTTGTTGGTACCTTCACTGAAAGTCATTTGACTGTATATGCATGCATTAAGTTCTAAACTCTGTCCTTTCACCAGTACCACACTGTCTTGATTACTGTAGGTTTATAGTAAATTTTGATATCAGTTCAATTTGTAAAATCACTTTGACTACTTTAATAGATCATTTGCATTTCCATATAAATTCTAGGATGAAGTTGAGAATTTCCACCCAGAAAGCCTCCTGGGGTTTTGTTTGGGATTGTGTTGAATCTATGTATCAGTTTGGAGAGAAATGACATCCTAATATCATTTTTTTCAATTCCTGAGTATTGTTTATTTAGCCATTTTTTACAGTCTTAATTTCTCTTAGCAGTGTTTTGTCATATCCAGTGTAGTGGTCTTATATTTATAAGTATTATATTTATATAGCTATATATAAAAATATATTTATATCTAAAATTTTTTTCCCTGAGTCTTTTGTGTTTTTTTCGTGCTCTTATATTAAAAAGACCATTTTCCAATTGTTTGCTGCTAGTATGTAAAAATGTAAATTGATTTAAAAAATTTTTTTACTGAAGTATAGTTCATTTACAATGTTGTTAGACTTTTATATTAACTTTACATCTTTTGACCTTGCTGGATTGATTTAGCAGTTGTTCTAGTAGTTTTGTAAGTTCCTGAGGATTTTCTGCATGAACATTTTTTCTGCAAATAGTTTTATTTCTTCTTTTCTGATCTTTATGTCTTTTTCTTGACTAATTGTAATAGCTAGGACCTCCTGTAAAATGTTGAATAGAATTGGTAAGAGCATATATACTTGCATTGTTGTAAGGGGAAATGTATTCACTCTTTCACTGTTGATGTTACAGATTTTTCATAGATGCCCTTTATCAGCTTGAGGAATTTCCTTTCTGTTCCTGGTTTGCCGAGAATTTTTATAATAAACAGGTGTTGAATTTTTTTTTTTTTTTTTTTTGTGGTATGTGGGCCTCTCACTGTTGTGGCCCCTCCTGTTGCAGAGCACAGGCTCCAGACGTGCAGGCTCAGTGGCCATGACTCACGGGCCCAGCTGCTCCATGGTATGTGGGATCTTCCCAGACTGGGGCACGAACCTGTGTCCCCTGCATCAGCAGGTGGACTCTCAACCACTGTGCCACCAGGGAAGCCCTACAGGTGTTGAATTTAATCTGTTAATGTGGTGAATTACATTGATTTTCATATATTAAACCAACCTTGCATTCGTGGGACAAACTCCACTTGGTTATGATTATGCTTTCATATGTTCCTGGATTTTATTTGCCATAATTTTATATAGGCTTTACATTTATGTTCATGTGCTACATTGCTTTTGTAAATCATAATAGGAATTTTGGTTTTACTATAAATAAGGTGAGAAACCATTGGAAAGTCTTGAACAGAATAATAGGTGATTTGATTTGGGAATGAAAAGGGTAAGGCAAATTAAGGCCAATGGCAGGTTAATAAAACCAAGAAATTTTATACAAAATTACTTCTATATGAAGGCATCTTAGCTTGAGTATCAACTGAAAACTTACATTTGGTTGGAACATATCACACAGAAAATGATACTCAGGAAGACCACTTCCAGGCTGCAAAAGTTTAACCATAGAGTTTTATTTACAGCCTATGGCAATTAATGGTACTGGGAGTTTATTTAGCCACACTGACATGAAATTGGTTTTTTAAAGGTAATGAACTTAGCTTGAATGCAGGATAACTAGCAGCAAGAGAGGAAGGGTGTTTGCAGACTGTTATATTAATATATATATAAAAAGATTATTATGATTTTCTGATAATTACCTTTAGTTATGCATGATTTATTTTCTTAATAAATTTTCCTTCATTCTCATTCTCTATAATCTCATTATTAGACTGCATTTAATAGCTGTTAAATCCTTGAACTTCTTATGTAGTTCGTTCACCAATTTGTGCTTTAGAACTTCTTCTTTTCTAATGCATAAATACAAAAGACATTTGTTTTCTTGGTATCTTTTAGATTGGGAGTATGCATTTAAAAACAATGAATTTTCATCAAAGCAAGTTATTTATGAGGAATCATCCAAAGTAAGGACAATGGGAAGAAGCCATCTTAGTTATAACCTTGACTGCTCCAGTTTGAGAGAAGACTCTAAAAATGAGGACTGGTTTAAGAACCACTTGGGAAGTCAGGAGATACATTCTAGTCAATTGATCATCACTCATAAAGAAATCCTGACTAAAGATCAAAGTAATGAATATACTAAATCTTGGCAAACTTTCCATCAGGATGCAATCTTTGATATAAGGCAGAGTTGTCCCACCAAAGAAAGAATACATAAGCATGAGCCACGAAAGAGAAGCTACCGGAAAAAATCTGTTGAAATGAAACGTAAGAAAGTCTACGTAGAAAAGAAACTTTTGAAATGTAATGAATGTGAGAAGGTTTTCAACCAGAGCTCATCTCTTACTCTTCATCAGAGAATTCACACTGGAGAGAAACCCTATGCATGTGTTGAATGTGGGAAAACCTTCAGCCAGAGTGCGAACTTAGCTCAACATAAGAGAATACATACTGGAGAGAAACCCTATGAATGTAAAGAATGTAGGAAAGCCTTCAGCCAGAATGCCCATCTTGCTCAACATCAGAGAGTTCATACTGGAGAGAAACCTTATCAGTGTAAAGAATGTAAAAAAGCCTTCAGCCAGATTGCACACCTGACTCAACATCAGAGGGTTCATACTGGGGAAAGACCTTTTGAATGTATTGAATGTGGAAAGGCCTTTAGTAATGGCTCATTTCTTGCTCAGCATCAGAGAATTCACACAGGAGAGAAGCCTTATGTATGTAACGTGTGTGGGAAAGCCTTCAGCCATCGAGGATACCTAATTGTACATCAGAGAATTCATACTGGAGAGAGACCCTATGAATGTAAGGAATGTAGGAAAACCTTCAGCCAGTATGCACACCTGGCTCAACATCAGAGAGTTCATACTGGAGAGAAACCTTATGAGTGTAAAGTGTGTAGGAAAGCCTTCAGCCAGATTGCATACCTTGATCAACATCAGAGGGTTCATACTGGAGAGAAGCCCTATGAATGTATCGAATGTGGGAAGGCCTTTAGCAACAGCTCGTCACTTGCACAACATCAGAGAAGTCATACCGGAGAGAAACCTTACATGTGTAAGGAATGCAGGAAAACATTTAGCCAGAATGCAGGCCTTGCTCAACATCAGCGAATTCACACTGGAGAGAAACCTTACGAATGTAACATTTGTGGGAAAGCCTTTAGCTACAGTGGATCTCTTACTCTACATCAAAGAATTCATACTGGGGAAAGACCCTATGAATGTAAGGATTGCAGGAAATCTTTCAGGCAGCGAGCACACCTTGCTCATCATGAGAGAATTCATACCATGGAGTCATTCTTGACTCTTTCCTCCCCCTCACCCTCCATGTCCAGTCAGTTGCCAAGACCTGTAGGTTCTATCTCCTAAATATGCCTTGAATCTGACTCTAATTAATTTCCATTCTATCATCTTTGTCCTCACCCTCCATGTCCAGTCAGTTGCCAAGACCTGTAGGTTCTATCTCCTAAATATGCCTTGAATCTGACTCTAATTAATTTCCATTCTATCATCTTTGTCCAGTACACAATAATCTATTTGACATGGACTATGGAAGTAACTCTCTAATTGATCTCCCTGTGTTTACCATTTCCTGCTAGTAGTGCATATTACAGTCAAACTTGTGTTTAAAAATTTAATATCACTTCTCCATCATTAAAACCCTTCATTGGCATCCCATAGGTCTTAGGTCAAGGCACACATTCCTCAAAATAGCCTAAAAGACCTCCAACCCCCAATACTTTGTTCCAGTCTACATTTCAGAGTCCCATCTCATGTTATCCACCTCATTCTTTGGCTACTTATCAACATTAAGAATTTATAGTGCAGCATCAAATAGATCTGGGTTCCAATTCTTACTCTTACATTTTCTGACCCTCTAGTTTTGGAGAAACCTTTTGTCCCTTCTAAGCTTCAGTCTTTTTATTTATATTATGGAAAATAATAATGGTACTACCTCAAGTTAATGTAAGGATTAAATGAGATAATGCATGTGAACTGCTCAGCAGAGTGCCTAGCATAAAGTAATCACTCAATAAACACTAATGTAAAATAAAAAGGTACTATGAAAAAAGAATATCATCTCAGCAATGATTATCTGCGAAATAACAAAGCAACCCAAAAGACTGTAAAGGTTTTTGATTAGGAACAGCAGTCATTGTTCTAAAGGTGGGTGATAGGGGTATCCAGCACAGGAGAGTTAATGTTGGAGTCCATGATGACAGAGTAAGATGGGGGCTTCTGTTTCAACATGAATACACAGAGATATGATTTTGTTGATAAGAAAAACTAACTTCATTATATAGTCAACAGTTTTAAGAAGCCAGGTGTTAAAAATCACTTGTAATAAGTAAAATTTACTGAGATGTATTCATCATTTGCATTTAAATAAAGGCAATATAGTTTTAAAAGACAGAAAACTTTAAAAGATCAATAACCAAAGAAGAATAGAAAGTAAAATTTAAGTTTAACTCACCTCTCTTAATTCCAGGTAGATGAATTGTATTAAACACATGTCATTTAAATAGAAAAGTTGTTAAGCTTCTAAGCTGTAATTCCAAAACTAGAGGGAAAAGAAACCAAAACTAGAGGTCAAAACTCATCAACATGTTTGATTTGATATGCATCAAGTTTCAAATGAATATGAATACCTTTAGATGGACATGTGTTTTCCAGTTCTCCACAGTTCAAACCACTACCTGTTCCCTTACATCTGACTTGTTTTACACTTTATATTACTTCCTGACTCCTGAAGGCTTTGAGCATGCAATCAATGCAGTAACCAGTTCTCTTGTGAACATAAGTACAAAGAAAATAACTAAAGTTTAATGGAGGATTAAAAGAATAGACTTTTTATCCTTCTGTAGGGGAAGACTCAGTACTCTACAGATGTTAATAGGCCCCAAATTAATCTATAGATTTGTTAGTAGGCCTCAAATTAATCTATAGATTCTTTGTACCTGACAAAATAAGGCTTTCTTTTTAAGGCTTGAAACATTGTGTTTGCCAACATACACACATACACATTCACAACATACACACATAAAGGAAATATATAATAAAGGTGATATTTCATGTCAGTGGCTTAACAGTATTGGTAAATGAGATTCGGCTCAAAAAAATTATTTCTGTACAAAACAATCACCTCATTCTTTTATCCAGATGCAAAACAGAGTCATTAGAGGACACCATAACATGCTTTATTATCATGAAGAATGGTCTTCCTAAATACGACATGAGATCCAGAAGCCACACACACAAAGATTCTAGGTTTGACTATATAAGAACTTTAATTAAAGCTTTTATATAGTCAAAGATAGTACAAACGAAAGGTTTTTAAACATTAGAGTTGGAAAAAATCATTAAAATATGTTTAACTTATGAAGTTCGTATACTTAACATAAAAGTGCTTCTACAAGTCATTTAGAAAAATGACACCTCCTCCCCTCATGGGCAAAAGGGTATAAAGAGCCAACAGGTGACTGATGAAAGTGGTAAGTACAGAATCTCACAAGGATCAGAACACGAGTTAAACAAATGAACTACCATCTTTCAATATCAGATTGATAAAATTTGCATTGCAAAAGCAGAGGAGAGGAGGTACTCCTATGTACTGATGAAAGGGTGTATGAATTTGTACAGTATTTCTGAAAGGTAACTTGTCAGCATCAAAATTTTCATTGGGAATCAAGGTTTTCTTTTGCAGTTAAACACAAGTTTATCTTTCCTCCATATCCTATTAAACAGATAAAACAATTTAAAAGGTATCAAAAAAGAGCAGAAGTCATCAGTGGATGAAAGAATCAAATTTTATAAAAGACAAAAGGGAAAAGAGTGGTTATTCATGAAATGTTGCAGAAGAAGCTGTTACCTGAAATGTTGGCATGACAGGGATTTCAGTAAAGGGAGTCAGTCTGTCCAAAGGGTCCCTAGAAAAGTTCATGCTTTGAGTTGGCTTCTGTAGAGGCTGGGTAATAAGGAGACACGATGACAAGACAGTTAATGATTTTTTATGTGAAAGTTATGTTAGTACCCCTGCCAACAGCTTTCCCACTCCACCCTCTCTTCTGTAAGTAAATTGAAACGGATCCTTCCTTCACAGCATTCACAAAAATTAGTTCCAGTTGAATAAAATCCTAAATGTTAAAGTAAATAGTAAAGTATTAGAAGAAAATATAGTACCATATGCTTATGACTTTGCTGTTGGACATATATTCGTAAATTAGACAAAAATGAAAGCCATAATGAAGTTGATTAAATCAAACGTGAGAATGCTTTTAAAAAGACAAAGATAAGAAACAGAATGGGAAAAAATTGTAATATAATACAAAGGGAAAGATGTAAGAGTACCTATAAATAGGTAAAGGACAACCAAGTAAGAATAAAAATGAACAAAGGACAAGAATGTGCAAGTCAGAAGAAATACAGATGGACCATAAATATGAGTCCCTGCTTAACCTTGCTAGTATTGAGAGATGCAAATTTAAGTAATCTACAATAATAAAAAAACTTGGTAGTTGTGTAGAGAAATAAATACTCTCATCAGTGCTAATTTGGAAGCACTGAAGTTTTAAAAATGCTCACTATAACCCCTTTGGAGGCCAGCACAGTACATGAAACTGGGAACAGTCTAAATTTCCATCAATAGAGGCATGACTAGAAATACTAGCACCAGTTTAAAAAAATGGACTTGTAATATTGGTATGGATTTGACTAAAAGACACTGATTGAAAATGGAAAATTTTCAGAATAATAGAGTATATTTAAAATATATTTATAATACATTTATATAACTATGCAAATACTTAGAAAAAGTCCTGAACAGACACATCCAACTGATAAGTGTTTCTTTGGGGGAGGGAACTAGAATTGGACATTCTGGTCAAGAGGGTAGATTTACCATTATCTGTAATGTTTGAAGTTTTAAATAAGAATGTTAAAATTTTAAAAACTTAAACTATGAAAAAATTCAACAAACTCACGGAGAACTAGAGCAGCTAGAGTGAGAGTTGGCAGCCTAAGTTGAAACCTTTTTTGGAATTTGGAGAATTTCCCATCAACTCACCAGCCTTTGCCATGCAGGCAGAGATCCCAGTAAACCTTTTCATTCAGGGAAACAGATCTACAATGAGAATAACCAAAGAACCTCCTGCTATCTACCTAAGATAATCAAACCCTATCATTATTAAGCGTGAACAGACAGCTAAGGATCATCACAGATGAAGAAAAGTACAAGCATAATAAGGACCAAGAGAGAGACTAAACCAGAGTAGGGAAAGTTATATAATGAGAAGAAAATAAAAATTTATGTTAGTCTGAGATTTGAATAGATATTGCACTTTTAAAGCAAATATGGGAAGCTACCAAAAACAGGAATAAGACAGATCCTAAGGATGAAAAAACATTATTGCTGTAATAGAAGGTTTGAAAGAAAATTGTGGAAACTCTTCAAGTTCATAAATTGAAAAGTTAAATGAGAAACAAAAGGGACCTGGAAGTTCAGAAGGTCTAACATCTAATTAATATGAGTTCCAGAAAAAAAATTAATGGAGAAAATATAATAGGAATGTATCAAATAAGTGATTAAGAATCTTTCTAAACTGAAGAAAATTATGAACACTCAGCTAGGACTAGCTCACTCAATGTTGGGCAGGCTGAAGTGGCAAAAAGTACAATTACAATAGAAACAAAAGACACCCAGAAATACGCTTGTGAAATTTCATAATACTAAAGACGAGGCCATCCTAAAAGCTTTCAAAATATGGAAATTTCTCCTGATAAAGAATAATGATCAAGATAGCATTAGCCTTCCCTCTGATGAGCAATATTAGATTGTAGAATACAGAACAGCACCTTCCAACTTGTGAGTTAAAACTGCTTTGAATCTAGAACTTTATACCCAAACAGTAATTAAGCATGAGGCCAAGTACTGATATTTTGTATTACCAGTTTACTTCAGTTTACTCCCACTGTCTTTTAATAGGGTATTGAATGATTAGCTTCAGCAAAATTTGGATGGAAAAGGTAAAAAACAGGAAAGGCTTTAAACAGTGGATCTAACCCAGTTAAGTGGTGCTGAGGCTGAATAGGATGATCACCCTGCAAGAATCAGACCAAATTACTGGTAGGCTAGATATCCAGGGAGTCAGTGAAGAGGAACTTAAGAATGAAAGGGGTGAGTTACATTAAATAGAATTAATACAAAGTTTGAGGATTTTAGTAATAATGGTGAAGACAAAAGTTCGTCAGAAGGAAAGAAAAACAATTACTGGCTCTGGAAAAAAAAAAAAAGGAGAAGCCATACCAGATATTATGGTCCTAATATAAAGCAAGTCCCCATAAAATGTGACATGACTTTGGAAAATAACTAGAATATGAAAAAAAAGTCCATATGACTGATACAAGGAATAGATTCCTTTAAGTGGGTACTGGGATCATAACATTGGACTTGTAGAGCAGAAAATGTAATCGTCACACATTGCTTGGCTCTGACTCTTCAGAGAATAATATTTACGTGGTGATAACGATCTAATGCTATTTTATTTCCAACTTTAAAATAGACAAATCACTGAAGTCTCTATGTGTATATATATCTACATATCTAATATCTACCTAATAATGTAAAGGCAAAATATAGCTGATATAGACTGGATGGTGGGAGGTTGACAAGGAAATAAGAGCTTGAAGCAAGAATAAGGGGAAATATGCTCACTGTATATAGAGGGGATTCAGGAGATGTCTAAAGGCGATAGAATAAGAAATGTAGGTTAGCTGTATTTCAAGTTAAAACACATCAGAGGAGCTAATATAACTCAGTGGGATGATTTAAATCCTTACCTTTCATAAGAAAGACTGTATAAAGTTGATAAATTTACAAATAAAATTACAACTGTAATCATGATTATGACAGAAACCCAATTCAAGTCAGCTTAGGAGAAAGGTATTTATTAGTTCCTATAACTCAAAGATGTAGAGCATGTATGTTACAGTCTAAGGTAGGCTGCATGTAAGTGTTGAGACTCATCAGAGATTAATAGCTCACAGCTCTGTGTTCAGTTGTTTCATCCTCTGCCAGGTTCTGTCTCTTGGCAGGAAGAAAATGGCATCTGATGATATTACACTTAAAAAATCCTTAGAGCTTTTAATCTCAAAAGCAAGGTGATCTCTTTCTGAGCCTCCATGTCAATCCCTGGGAGGAAAATATAATTTGTTCCAGTTTATGCTATGTGCCCACTCTGGACCAATCACCAGATCCAGGGTAGGGGGTACTCTGGCCAAGCTGGGTCAAGTTCACATACCAGGGGAATTGGATCACTGGATGGCCAATTAACAAAATTCCCATGGGATGGGGGTAGGGTGGAGGGCAGTTGAGAATCAGTTCCCATAAAGAAAACAACAGACCTGAACTGACATATGAGGGCAACACTGACTCACTAAGTGTGTAGATATACCTATCTTTTGCTGCAAAAATACTGTGTGTAATTATAGGGAGCTGCCTCAGCCCCTGTAGCAAGGGTAAGTTAAATTTCCAGGGGTCAACTGGACTCAGTACACAGTTGCTAGTAATTAAGCTATCTTGCCAGACTCCTGAGATGGCTGCACATTGGACAAGGTAACTCCAACAGCAAGAGACTAGGGCTTGGGTGACAAGTGGTTGAGCCTCACCTGCACCATTTACGCCAGGAGACATCAGGGGAGTTCCCTTTAAAGACCTCCAAAGAAGGCTTTCTGCACAGAAGATGTCAGAGACAGCCAACAAAAAGTGAAGCTGTTTACATAAAGGACAGCAGATCTGCTCTACAAAGGGGATTGCCTTCCAGTTTAGAAAAACTCCATTCCCCCCCCACCCCGCCCCTTTTCATGATCTCTATGGAAGAGTAGCAGACTGGTACATTCCCATAAGGAGGCAAATTCAAATGTATGTATGAGGAGCTTTTAAAAATACTAACTTTGAATTTAAAGTGGTGGGACCAAGATATCTCTATCCATTTCTCCTTTCTGAAACCAAGTGAAAGCAACAAGAATAAGAAACAGAAGGAAACTCCATCTTCGATGAAGTAAAGAAACGTCTATAATTCTGAGTCTCAAAATCCACAAGGAAATGCTGCTAAATGTGGTGAGAGTCCTGGGAGAGGAAACTGATGATGCATTGATGAGCACAAAATACCTCCAAAGTAGTGGCATATCTGGAAGGGCAAAAGAAAAGGCACCTCAACTGAAGCCACACAGTATTACTCTGAAAAGTCTGGCTTTAGAAGTCTCCGGAAATTCTGTTTACAATCGCAAAAGAGTGGCAGGGGTGAGGAGCTGGAGTGTTCAAGGAGGAAATACATGGGTTTTGAAGAGGTGATTTATCATCTGACAGAGGAGAGGGAAGCTGCGAATGATGTGCAGGACTGCAAGGTAAATGCTAAATCCTTGCTACTCAACGTGGGGCCTGGACTAGCAGCATCAGCCTCACCTCGTAATTTCTTAGGATTCCAGAACCTTGGGCCTTAACCCGGAGCTAGTAATTCAGAATCTGTATCTTACAAGATGCCCAGGTGATCTGAATACACGGTAATACATGAGAATCACTAGGCTAAAACAAATTTCCTACTAGTCTAGAATACAGGCCTTTGATAAACAGCCAGATCAGGAAGAGCTCTACTCATTCAAAAATGTAGTCTAGTCTTTCAGAGACCCTATGGAATGATAGTAGACTCAGATTTAGAAATTCCTCTTACTAAAATTGAACAGAGTGAGGAAAAAAAACCCCAATATACCACCTTACATCACACACTATGAAAAGTAAAATACAGAATTAACAGAGCCACATTAAAAGAACATGCCAATATCTTTGGCACAGTCTGCCCTCTGGTAAAGTGGCATAATGGAGAAAAAGTAGGCAGAAGAAATTCTGAAAAACTTTACTAATATATCTCAAGATGGGCAAGATGTAGGCAGCACTGGACAAAGGTACATAACATTTCTCTAGGTAACCTTCATTCTAGATAAATACTAGTTTGAACAGGAAAGGCAAGTTGGCAGTATCTATCAAAATATGCCTATCTTTTGATCCAGCAATTTAATTCTCCAAAAATATTGGTAAAAAATTTCAAAAGCATATGTGAAAGACTGTTAATTGCAACCCTGTTTTTAAAAATAAATCCTAGCTCCACAGTGAGGCCTACCCTAACTAAATGCTTATTTGAGATCTGCTGGTGAAGATGGAATTATAGAGAATTGTTTATCCTCCCATCTGAAACAATAAAACACTGGACAAAACATGAAACCTTGGCATTCAAGACATTGGATAACAGGCAATGAAACAGAGACCACTGAAAAATGGGAAACAAATGAGATGAGTACTATGATTTCTCCAGATAACTGCATGGAAAGTTTCCAGGCTGTTGCTTCCCAAAGTTGAGGAAATGAAGCTAAAAGTCATGGAGACTGAGGTGACTGGAGTTCACAGGATGAAGTGCCTGAAAGCTCTTAGAGGAAAAAACCCTAGACATCTGCAGAATTTTTAGCTGAATTTTACCTGAATACTCATCAGAACATGCATGTGAAGAAATTACCTGAAGCAGGGGAAAAAAACTGATAGAACTACAAAAAGAAATAGACAAATCCAAATCTTTAAAGTAAAGACTGTTACAAGAAACGAAGGACACTACATAATGATCAAGGGATCAATCCAAGAAGATATAACAATTGTAAATACATATGTACCCAACATAGGAGCACCTCAATATATAAGGCAAATATTAACAGATATAAAAGGAGAAATCCACAGTAATACAATAATAGTAGGGGACTTTTAACACTCCACTTACATTAATGGATATAAAAAACACACACTTAAGTAACACAGTAGAGCAAATGGTCTTAACTGACACCTATAGAGCAGCAGTCCCCAACCTTTTTGGCACCAGGGACTGGTTTCATGGAAGACAATTTTTCCACAGACTGGGGTTGGCAGGGCGGATGGTTTCGGGATGATTCAAGCACATTTCATTTGTTGTGCACTTTATTTCTATTATTATTATATTGTAATAATATAATGAAATAATTATACAACTCACCATAATGCTGACAGGAGGTGGAGCTCAGGTGGTAATGCGAGCGATGGGGAGTGGCTGTAAATACAGATGAAGCTTCGCTCGCTTGCCTGCTGCTCACCTCCTGCCATGTGGCCTGGTTCCTAACAGGCCACGGACTGGTCGGGGACCCCTGCTATAGAGCATACTATCCAAAAGCAGCAGAATACACATTCTTTTCAAGTGCACATGGAACATTCTCCAGGATAGATCACGTGCTAGGTGGCAAAACAAGCCTCAGTAAATTTAAGAAAATTGAAATCATATCATCTTTTCTGACCACAATGCTATAAGGCTAAAAGTCAACTACGAGAAAAACTGCAAAAAACAGACACGTGTAGGCTGAATAAAATGCTACTGAACAACAAATGGGATCACTGAAGAAATCAAAGAGGAAATCAAAAAATACCTAGAGATGAAAACATGACAATCCAAAACCTATGGGACACCACAAAAGCAGTTCTAAGAGGGAAATCTACAGTGATGCAATCTTGACTCAGAAAACAAGGAAGAGCTCAAAAAACAACCTAACCTTACACATAAAGGAACTAGAGAAAGAAGAACAAACAAAACCTAAAGTTAGTAGAAGGAAAAAAATCATAAAGATTCAGAGCAGAAACAAATGAAATAGAGACTAAAAAAATAGAAAAGATCAATGGAACTAAAAGCTGGTTTTTTGAAGAGATAAATAAAATTGATAAACCTTTAGCCAGGTTCATCAAAAAAAAAAGGGAGAGGGCCCATTTCAATAAAATCAGAGGGCTTCCCTGGTGGCGCAAGTGGTTGAGAGTCCGCCTGCGGATGCAGGGGACACGGGTTCGTGCCCCGGTCCGGGAAGATTCCACATGCCGCGGAGTGGCTGGGCCCGTGAGCCATGGCCGCTGAGCCTGCGCGTCCAGAGCCTGTGCTCTGCAACGGGAGAGGCCACAACAGTGAGAGGCCTGCATACCACAAAACAAATAAATTTGAAAAAATAATAAAATCAGAAATGAAAAAGGAGAAGTTACAACCGAAAACACAGAAATAAAAAGGATCATAAGAGACTACTATGAGCAATTATAGGCCAATAAAATGGACAACCTAGAAGAAATGAACAAATTCTTACAAAGGTACAATCACCCAAGACTGAGACAGGAAGAAACAGAAAATATGAACAGACCAATTGCCAGTACTGAAATTGAATCAGTAATTTAAAAACTCCCAACAAACAAAAGTCCAGGACAAAAAAAAAAAAAAAAGTCCAGGACAAGATGGCTTCACAGGTGAATTCTACCAAACATTTAGAGAAGTTAACAACTATCCTTCTGAAATGATTCCAGAAAACGGTAGAGGAAGGAACATTTCCAAACTCATTCTGTGCAACCACCATCACCCTGACAGCAAAATCTGACAGAGATTTCCTGGTGGTCCAGTAGTTAGGACTCCGTGCTGCCACTGCAGGGGGCCCAGGATCAATCCGTGGTCAGGGAGCTAAGACCCCACAAGCTGTGTGGCGTGGCCAAAAACAAAAAAACAAAAAACTCAAAGATATCACAAAAAAAAGAATTACAGGTCAATATCACTGGTGAACATAGATGCAAAAATCCTCAACAAAATACTAGCAAACCAAATAATAGGTTAAAAGGATCACACAACCAATATCAAGTGGGATTTATCCCAGGGAGGCAAGGATTTTTCAATATCTACAAATCAGTCAATGTGATGATACACAACATTAAAAAACTGGAAAATGAAAACCATATGATCATTACCATAGATGCCGAAGAAGCTTTTGACAATATTCAACATCCATTTATAAAAACTCTCCAGAAAGTGGGCATAGAGCAATGAAGACCATATATGATAAAGCTAACATCATAATCAATGGTGAAAAGCTGAATGCATTCCCTCTAGGAACAAGACAAGGATGCTCACTCTCACCACTTTTATTCAACATACTTTTGGAAGTCCCAGCCACAGCAAGCCAAGAAGAAAAACAAGAAAAGAAATCCAAATTGGAAAAGAAGAAGTACAACTGTCACTGTTTGCAGATGACATGATACTATACATAGAAAATCATAAAGACACTACCAGAATACTAGAGTTCATCAATAAATTCAGTAAATTTGCAGGATATAAAATTAATATATAGAAATCTGTTGAATTTCTATACACTAACTACAAAATATCAGAAAGAAAAATTAAGGAAACAATTCCATTTGCCACTGCATTAAAAAGAATAAAATTCTGAGGAATAAACCTATCCAAGAGAGCAAAAGACCTGTATAAGACTGATGAAAGAAGCTGAAGACAATACAAACAGATGGAAAGATACACAGTGTTCTTGGATTGGAAGAATCAAGATTGTTAAAATGACCATACTACTGAAGGCAATCTACAGATCAATTGCAATTCCTACCAAATTACCAATGGCATTTTTCACAGAACTAGAACAAAAAAACTTTTAATTTGTATGGAAACACAAAAGACTCCTAGTAGCAAAAGCAATCTTAAGAAAGAATGGAGCTGGAGGAATCACACTCCCTGACTTCAGACTATAATACATAGCGACAGTAATCAAAACAGTACAGTACTGACACAAAATCAGACAGATCAATGGAACAGGACAGAAAGCCCAGAAATAAACCCACACTCTTATGGTCAATTAACCTACGACAAAGGAGGCAAGAATATAAAATGGAGGGCTTCCCTGGTGGTGCAGCGGTTAAGAATCCGCCTGCCAATGCAGGGGACATGGGTTCAAGCCCTGGTCT